CTGGCGTTACGTAATTTATGGATGACCCCTTAATCCTCAGTTCATCTCAGAATTGTGTTTTAAAATGTTTTCAATTAAATCTCGAAAACGTATTAATAAAATTTCGTACTGTCCGTTATCAGAGTTCCGCTTAGTTTCTTAAACCAAGAGAAAAATGCAAGAGGTAGTACGGTATGTGATATGGTTTCATTGGCATGATCACACTTCGAAGACAAACCTTAAAAAACGCGAAAAACTATTTTCTTGTAATTTTCAGCAACCTGATAAGTATGTGAAGTTACAAGCACATTTAGTTCATCCTTATACTATTGCTAAGATTTCGCTACAAAAAGTCTAATTAAAAGCCACGTCGTTTGCTCTTTTGCAAATCCATTAAACGTATTCACATTTTTTAATACTGATTTTACTTGCTTTCGCAAATTTAAGAAATTTAATTTATACAAATTAGTACTAGTGAGGTATAGAGCATCGAAAACCGCAAATTCTTTTTTTGAATGTCGTCAAAGTTTCCCTTCTTCGAACACTTCAGTTCTGCCAACATCTACGCTGCACAGATCGGCATTGTAGTTCGTGGGAACACTGGATGGGTGAAGAAGTATTTTCCGGTAACTCTTAAAGACATCTGTCTGCACAAGTTCGCCAGAAGATGCCAGGAAGTTCGCATCTTAATTTGATTGGCTGCTGTAGTTGAGAACATGTTACTTAAAACCTGCTTATTCTATTCGTGCAATTTGTATCTATCCGTTCTCGTAAGTTTTGATGCAGAGAGAACGCGCTGTAGCGATCATCAGTGTAAAATTGACTAGTACGTATGCATGGGAGCTGTGTCATTGTCAGGCATCGCACATTCCTGGAGGAGTTTCAAGCATTGTATAATCAGGGGCGCTGAGAAGAAACGAGAGGTCTGGGACAGTAGATACAGTGAGTTTCAATTTCAAATCTCTCTTGTACATAAACAGAATCAATGTCTTCTTATAACAGAAATGACTCATAGCAGTTAATTTGAATTAGAAGGAAATAAAGTTTTATGTTTTGGATTTCATAAAAATTCGGGGCTTTAAGACGAGGCTTGGGGCAAGTTCCAACCTCCTCTGGACTGTACTGGATATTGCTAGGTGAATCGTTGTTGGATGATTAAGTTTGTGAATCACACATATTTTCTTAAAATAATACGAAATGGAAATTTGGTGGGCATGAAGAATAGAAGGCAGGATTGGACAATGACTAGGAAGAGTTTTAGGCTGTTGAATATAAATAAAGTTGTTATTTACTGGCATGCTCTCTTATTAATATTAAGTTGTAGCACCAATTTCTTCGTAAAAGCTTAGGTGATATTTTTAAACGGTATGTAAATAACGTACCAATAATCTTGAAACAATGAATGGAAAACATGAAGGAATAATTTATTATTTCTTCCTTTTCATATATTATTTGTCAACATAAATTCAAGATACAAGATTTCACACACTTTGACAATCTAAGAGTTCATTTGAAATAAACATTGATCTATTTTGGACATTAAGAGTTATGTAATAAACAATGTTGTGGACCTCTTTCTTTGGGAAAATGAAATTACAACACATTGGCACAACATAAGCTACAGAAATAATGCGTACTTCTTTCGACACCATCTGCTGGCGAAAATTATCTAGTCTGAAGTAGCTTCCAATCAGCATACCATTAGCTATTTTTTTAAATAAAAATTATAAATTAATATTTCACAATTAAACGTTTAAAATTTTCATTAAATTCGATTGCAAATTCATTACTTGCATTTGCTAACCTACTTCAGGCTTGCAATATCGCCAGTTGGGGGTGCCATATTCTCCTCAGCCTACTGTGCAATATTTCTATACAACAGAGAAATACGAACACATATTGAAAGCTTTGCCCTTTGGGTGGCACTTTGCGGATATCTATGATACCTCTGATAAATATATGATGCATAATTAGGACATTAAAATTTTATGGAATTGTCCTCTAAATGGAAACATACTTTAACTTGTTCACTTTTCAAAGCAAATACTCAAGAGTATCTGTACATGTCTTTAAATTTCATCTGTTGCTGAGGTGATCTTTATTCATTGACCTAGTCAACTTGAATTTTAATAATTCATTGATATGATGCCTCTTAACTCTTCACCACATGTCCAAATAGTCTGTAACGTTCTCACAAATTAGCTGAAACATTTAAAGCATATATATTTTATCACACGCCAGCAACGATGTAGTATATTCTTTGGTTAAAAGGGAGTTAAGCAGAGTATCGCTGTCAAAGCGGCTCAGTTGGCAAAAGGTGACAAAAAGTTATCCAAAAAGTGCATACTTAGTTCACAGTAGTCCAATGAATGACTAGTACAATAAACATGCTCATATCAGAATTCGTTGTTTTTCATTTGCTTCATTATGTGAATCCCATTATTCGTTTCAGAAGAGATTATTTTTTAATATTTACTGCCACATAACAATAGCGTAGAATCGGTTTGGTTATTAATGCTTATGGGGTTATATGAGTTTATACCTATTTTTCTTTGGAATACATACAGTAGTACAATCAGATGTACAGTGTCTATTTTTTTTAATTCTATGAAGTAAAAAAAAATAATAAATTATCTTTAATTTATCTTCTACGAAACATATCTACGAGACCACTAGCTGACTAGTTCGTTTCGCAGCCACTCAACAATTCTTCTCAACTTCCACCTACCAGGAATGTAAGATCCATGCGTACGGACTAGTACTGCGAATTGTTTCACAACTGACAAGTTTGCGAGTTGAATCCAGCAACGGCACAAGAACTTGAAGAGAGGTCGTTTAATCGCTGACTTCAAATCACCTGTCCCAAATTTAGCAAGGGAGCTCGTAATTGTTAATTCACCTGACCCTCGTCGACTGTTCTTTACTCGCTCAGTCCGAAAGAGGCTCAGGAATGGATCGATGATCAGTATTCATCAGAGATATGAATTCTCCCATTACTTCCTCGTTGTCGTCGCGTTGAATACGAATGATCTGCTTGGCGGAATCGCGCATGGTGGTCAACGAACGAAGATTGCTGCCGCAGCCGCACGTGGCGGTTAAATCGACTATCATGCGCTGCCGGAAATATATCGGGCGGTTTATGGCGGGTGTGGTTTTGGCGGCAGCCAGGAACTCAGCCACATCAAGCACCTTATGTACCGTAGGGTCTGCATTGCTCCTTCACTGCTCACTCGTGTTTGTCAGGCGCTCCCTGATAGACACGATCATCACCTGATTAGTTATAACCAAGGCTTGGATTCTGATGACAAGTCATCTATTCATTGGTGCATTCTAGGCGGAGCTAACTTGTAAATGAATGTTCATCACGACACATAGGTAATAGAAATGTATAGTTATTGGGTCGTTTTTTGTCATTTTTCAGTTTTTAGGTCATTTTTTTAATCTTTGCAACATTTTTTGTCATTTTTACGCATTTTGTTTCCTTTTTGTGTTGTTTGTTAGTGAATGTTTCATGAATTTATGACACTAGAACAAAGTTTTTATTGTAGTTCATGACCAAATTCACTAGTGCAATGGACTCAGTTTTTCGAACTCTTTTCTTCGGTAAATTTCCCGACATTTCAAAATTGAGGTTGACAGATCGAAGCTAAGGTTTGCGTTTCCTTCTAAAATAAAGACTTTATGTTAAGTGCAATTTTCTATAAATAAATTTTATTTAAAATTGTTAAATTCACTGAATAAGTAAACAGTTTCTTACTAATTTTTTAGTATTTTTTGAAAAAAATGGGGCATTTCCCCCCTTATTTTTAAGTAATTTTCCTCTTATTTGTAAGTCATTTTATTGGTCATTTTCAAAAAAATTGGGGCAATCAGAATCCGAGCCCTGGTTATCATAATCACATCAACTACCCTCGTGACCTCACTCACAATACCTCACAATACCTGTACGTCCCCCTGCTATTGCTGATCGCGGTAGTCGTTACAAGACTTCAGGCACACTTTGTTCAAATTGTCTTCGTTTTCGCCTTTGTCGCGCCATTGCTGATCACCACACAATCTCCGCACTCTCAACAATCACGTTGTTCCAGCTCGCCCACTAAACGTTGAGCACCGCTACCATGGCTTCCCACCTCGCTATCTCAGCCTCTCAACAGTTACAAAAAACTGTGCAGGTCCCACAGTTGAAGCTGAGAAATGCTACCATTGCCGGTTACCTATTTGCCGCAGTGTCTGACTAATCACCTCATGCAGCACATTCAGTATCGTTCGCTCAGTATTACGAACCATCGTCAGACACCTCATTGTCTTAGCGTTCCACAATCAACTTAATGACACTCTATCCGCTTTCCCGCCGTTATCCGAGCACTGCTGCCATCTACGATCACTTCAATATCTCCACGACTAAACCATCACCTTATTGTGGCTACCACATTGCTCACCGTACTCTGATCAGGAAATGGTCCGTCGTGTCGTGCATTGACTTGTTTTAGTAATTGTTATAGTCTCATGGATATCATATCTAACATTTTAGCGACCGAAACAAACAGCAATATGGAGATTGAAGCCCCTGGCATGTGAACTGAAAACGGTACGACAAAACACGTCCGACCCGGCAAACCATTCCCTCGAAAGCATTTCGAAACCATTCCTTACTGTGATTGCGTAGACTTTCTCAGCCGGACTTTGTATTATCTCGGCTATTCGGGCCCAGCCGACCCTCTGTCGTGGTAGCTGTAGTTTCCGCCAAACTTCCATACAATACATTCAGCCTAGACACTAAATTCTCTGCTGCCGTGTTGGGTTTATTAGAGAAAAAATCTCACACGCTGGGTAGCATGTCTCTCCAGCGTCTTTTGAAGATTTCTAACCTCGTAAAAAATACCCTTCATAACACCACAGATTCCACACGGCACGCCAAAACACGTCCGACCAGGCAAGGCATTCCGTCGAAACTATTCCTTGCTGTGATTGCGTAGACTTCGACGGTCGGACTTTGAATCATCTCTGCTATCCGGGACGAACCGAGACTGCATGGTGGCTGTAGTTTCCGCCAAACGTCCATACAATACATTCAGCCTAGAGAGTACATTGTCTGCTGCCGTGTTGGGAATTCGTGAGTCAGAAATCTCCCACGCAGGGGCTACCCTGAGCATTTTGGAGATTTCCACCAACTGTCGTATTAAATCGGCTCCCTTCACGCCACCCACGTGACCGGACTGCCGTCGGCGACGCTTCCTCAACGCTCCGCCCTGGCGCGGGTGGGCGACGGCGACAGCCTCAGCAGGCCGGGCGACTGCAGCTCGCTGGCGGTGACGGTGCACAGCGTGGAGCTGCTGGCGCTCTTGTGCACGTGTCGCGCGTTAGCGCCGGCGGCCGCAGCGACCGCGGCGGCGGCCGAGGGCGTTAGCGGCTGGCGCAGGCTGTTAGCGCCCGCGCCGGTGGTGGCGCCGCGCGCCTCGGTGTCGGAGCTGCCGCCGTCGCCGTCGCAGCACGGGCAGCAGCAGCAGCAGCGCGCGCACAGGGAGGCCAGGCGCTTGCGCACGCGCACCAGCACCTTGCGCTTCAGCACGAAGATGCAGAAGATGAACACGCCCTGCGCACGAGAACAGGCGCGTTAGCCACATACGATGTACAGGTGGGGCAAAGCATGAGACACTCGCACCAGAACGAAGATGCAGAAGATGAACACGCTAAGTAAAAGATGAACACGCATTCTAAGTAAGGGACAGAATATTTGACACCCGCACCAGCTCGGAGATTCAGAAGATGAACAAGTCCTGCGCACGATGGAAGGCGCGTTCGTTATCTACAGAAACCAGATTCTTAAATAATTAAGTGTTACTTTCTCGCTACAGAGTAGAAAGTTAGTTATGCAATGCAATTTTCTGAAGAAAAACAGTTATTACTGGGATCTGGTAACGAAAGAGTGGTAAATGATATACAGTTGATAAATTTACAAAAAAAAAAACTCCTCTAACACGTGGTGTAACAAGAATCCATGTTTTGTGAGCCCTGGATACCGAAAAGTCGCATGTTCGTTTGTCTGTACGCCTGCCTGTCTGTCTGCCTGTCTGTCGTCTATCGTCGGTCTATCGTCGGTCTATCGTCTGTCAGTTGTCTGTCTGTCGTCCGTTTCGCCGTCCGTCCATGAATAACGTTAGCGGCTAAACCTTGGAGCCAATTTTCTCCAAAATTGATATTCCTCAACCAATCTGGCTGATTTTGGGGCCCTTGAAATTGAAACTGATATTTCAATTTTGGGAAGTGCTTTACATAAAGCCCCTTGGACATTTCCAAAGTTTACAAGAAATGACTCCATCGTTTTTGAATTATTTTTTTAGTTGGTGGTGTTAAGGACGTTTAATAGAATAGTGCACGTTCCATGTTCGTTGAAAACCTTATTTTTCTAAAATTGAAAAAATTCAAAAGTTTTACGGCATCTTCCTGCAAATACAATTATGAAGATAAACATTTCCCCTTAACGAAATCTGTTCTTTAAATATGGTTTTTGAAATAAGCTCATGTACACTTTTAAAAAAACTTCAGTACTTTTCGCGTAATTTTGGGTGAAATTACTAGTGATAAAGTAGATGCTGTTTTAGCACCACTAGTTTTTTGTGTGCGTTCAGTTAAATCGAATATTGATATTTTCATTCGTATGTATTGTTCGCCGTTTTGGGCTCAGGATGTTTCGTAGTTCTAATCTTATGACAAAATATTAAATTGGTAGTTTCTTTGTTCTTTTAATGCATAATAATCAGGTTCCTCTGTATTCAAGAGGAGGAGAAATCGCTAGAAAGAAGATCTTTGACTGCCAACAAGCATCTCAAAGCAAGTTTAAACACTTTTATGCTAACGCTCATTAAAGTTTATTTCATTCTTGTTCAATATATTCTGTAATATTCGTGCGTTAGCTGAAAGTTATACCTTCACTAAGTTCTTCAAAATTTACTTCAGAAAGAAACAATTGCGATTTCTTCTTTGAGAAGTTTTGTATCAGAAATAAAGCAAAAAAAAAAAAAAAGACAAATTAATCAGAAAGGTTCGTAGTATCTCGCGAGTCAAATCAACAACATTTGGTATATTTCAAAGTCAAATCAACAATATTTGATTAGTTTAAACAATATTAACTTGCTGAAAGTTACTTTTAGAAAATAGTGTAACTCATTTTCTAAAATCAACGACTATTGACCTTAATGCTTCATTAAGTAATTTGTATACTTGAATCAAAATAAAATGAAAGTGAACAAGGCTGTCTAAAATACAGTGTATGACACAAGTTATAAAGATATTTTATTTTGTTCGTACGATAGTTTCACTCGGCCTATTCGCCTCGTGGTTCAGTAAAATAGAAAAAAATGTTTCTTCTTTTAGATGACTAAACGAGACATTTCTCGTGAGCTAGCAGCAAATTGCTACGCTCGTTGTAGACATCTTTAACGTAATTTCGCTTTGTCGCGGCCCCCATTCCCGCTGGAATGTTTTCAGTGGCGTTGTGCACCGTGACTCACGATCCAGTGCCCCAACCGGTTGCCGGAACGAGGTTGTTTTTTCGCGGAAGCGGCGGCAGAGGCGCAATTAGCCTGGCGTGACGCTCCTTGCCAATCGTCACTTGTTTCGCCCAGGGTCAGTGGCGGCCGGTGGGTTGTAAATGAAGAGGGGCGGCATATAACCCCGAATCTCTTACCTTTTACCTCTTCAAAATATATCTTGAGCGGGAAAAACTACAGCATGTAGTGTGCAACCGATTTGCACGCATCGGGATTTTAATCTTTGTCTAAAAAGACAACTTTCACGTAGATAATGAAAATACAATTGTGTTCACGCGAAAGTAAGAATTAAAACAAAATACTTCCAGAAATAAAACAGTAATTTATGAAATCAAATGGTAAGGGTCGGTATTCTTACTTCGTTAACAGGTGGACTATGCCGAATAAAACCCAAATGGGAGCACGCTGCCCCTACCCTACTCCCAGTATCCCCACTCTCCTCAAGCTTTCATAACCTCGCACGTACCAGCTACGGAGGGTTGGGTTTTTTGGGGAGGGCGCCGCCCTAGATACCTTCAGGACCTGCCCACACTGATTAAGAGTTCACGTGGTCTGTGGAACTATTGTAGAGCGGAGTTTCCTTTACATTTACAAACTATAAAATATTTCCATATAAATATTTGTGCGGCCATATAAATATTTCGCCACATTTCGTAAAAATGTAACTAATTAATTTAATAATTTTTCGAATATTTTTTGCAATTTTTTAAATAGCTGAATCGAAAATTGATGATGAATTAATTCACTTTCACTCAAGTTGTAAGTTAAGGTGTTCGCTAACTGAAGATAGTGAATTTTCCCCGACTAACTCCATTATAACTTACGTAACTTCAAATGTATTTTTGCCAAAATCCTAGTTTTTTTCAAGTTATTGTTCTTTCCAGTTTTTTTCCAGGTCGGGTGGCTTCAAGATTTTTTTTTAAGTTGGTCATAGTTTATATGACTATTGCATTGGTCATAGTTAATATGACTATTATATATTGACTACTGTTGTTTCGACAAAATGTTTGATTAGTTGTGACGTTTTTCTTTGAGCTCATTGTATATTATGTTGGTAATTTTCGCTCACATAACCATTGGATTGTTTAAGATAAAGAAAAATATATTACTATTTTCATTTCATTAAATTCACTTATCTTTATAAAAACCTTTTATAATCCATTATAACACATCAGTTATTATCTACTTTGGCCAACGTGTCGACGAAGATGTTTCAAGTACAGGTTAAATACTTGTATTATAATTCATGACTCATGTGGAAGGTTAGTTTTCGTTATAATCTGTACATTAAAAACCTCGTTCACCAACAAGTTTTAATCGAAATAGTAAATTTCCCTCATTGTTTTTGTTCAATAACTTTATGAATTTGACGCTGATCTCTCACATGAGCTATGAATTACAATTATATTTGCCCTAGTACTTGAAAAATACAAAAAAATGTCGAAACGTGGTACATCGTAGAGATTAACTTCTTCTATGATAATGAATTATTAAGTGTTTTTTTTATAAAAATAACTGTCTTTAATTTTGTGTGATCAAAATAATAATATAAATTCTGTTAGACAGTTACAACCTACAAATAATTACGAAACCTGCTTTAAAATGTTTTTATTATACGTACAAAACCCCGCAACAACTCCGTTATTTGCAATATCTTTGACTGGGTAAGAACAATTGAGTTCGACTGCTGAGCCTCACCTGCAGAGAGAGAAGCGCCTCGGGCACGTACCACACCCAACGGGGCTCCATGATGAAGTCGGAGATGACGTCCACCGCCCACGGCACGCCCATCGCCACGAACAGCTTGGCGTTCATCAGGAACCTTTGCGACAGAAACAACAACGACAATTAATTATTGGCCACCACCGCGAACCGCTGCCGGCTGCAAATTGGTCTATTAGGCAACCCGCTTGGCGGGAATGCGTTACTTGCTTTTATGTAGCAGCGACCTACGCTATTTTCTTTTTTTTTTAATTCTGTTTATTTGTCATTTATTTGTACAGAAATGTTATGCAAATTGTTTAAATGGTTTAACCCCCACAATTGTTAAGGCTTATTAATATTTTCTGGGACACTGAGAGATGTAAGATGTAAGAGAACAAAGACGTAGGAAAAAGAGAAAATAAGTAAAAAAAAAAGAATAAAGTAGTAGAAAAAGAAGAAAAAATAGAAATGGGAGAGAATGAAGAAGAAGAAGAAGAAGAAGAAGTCATTAGAATAACTTGTGTAACATAGCATTTTTATGCATAAATTCGTCTTCGATATGTATATTCAGAAAGTTTCTGAATAAAAGAATATAATCTTCAGTGCATACGTCAATGCCCATGATGTATATAATGGACGTGTTAATCACGGATATCCGTAAACCTCCTTCATTCTTTTCATTCTCTTACGAAATGTACCAACTTCAGGCCGGTCTTTCATGGAAGATCTCGATAAACAAATTGGATGCATCCGCCAAATCTTGACGTCATTTAGACCGATCACGTCAACTGATGTTCTCGTCATCGTCTATCGATCCTACGCTATTTAGATCGATGATTCATTAATCCCGGGGAACATATTGCACAAGAAAATAATGCACTTACGAGTAGCTTCAATGAAAACTTTATTTAACAGTGTTAACTTGACATGATTCAATTGACATAGGAACCACATTCCCTAAAACTTTACTTTGTTTTAAAGTTTTGATTGGTTTTTATGTGTTCTAATTTAACAGTGTGTAATTTTGAACGTTTTTATTGTGCACTAGAAAAGCGGTGATTGAGTGCACCGAAACCTTTTGTTATTGTAAAGTTTCCATTCTTGAAATTTCAGCGAGCAAGAACCGAGATCGTACCAACCAATCAGAGACAAGTCACCCACGTTAGTTATTCAATATCGACTCCTTTTCAAAAAAATTCATTATGGAAACATATTTCTTGACTTATAGTTTTTTATCTTTATCTCCGTTTTTTAGATAATTTTTAAAGACTTGCCTCATAAGACACATCCACCCTAAACCAATAAACATTCGGACAAGCATTTGTGTTGGAAATGCGGGATGAGGCGACGGCTGTGAGAACTCCCGCAAAACATAGGATTTTTAATATCCCCCTCTTTATTTCACGACTTCTTTAAAGAGAAGAGGTTTTTTTCTTTCGTGAGCGTTAAGTGGGAGGAGCTCTTCCTTGACAGTGCTTTCCATGTAAACTGTCCATTCCCTGCCCCCCTCCCCCGCTCCGAATGACTGCATTGCCGTTGGGCCGTGACGTAACGCGAAGAATGAGTAACGAAGCAAAACACTCGCGTCCTCAGCTCGTCACTTTTTTTGGTCTCGGAGCGTAAAAAAGTCGACGAACCGTGGTTCATCGGCTCTTGCTCAAAGAGTGCATCTAGGGACGCCTTCTGGGAAATATCTGAACTTCTCAGTTGTGCATACAGTTGGGATTGTTGCATATTGTGCATTGTGACAAATTTTGTTTTGTTGCACATTGTTCATTGTGGCAAACTGTGATTTATTTCAATTGTCCATTGTTGCGAGTTATACATTAAAATATTTTTTCTCGTCATATTTTTGAACAATTATATCCATTGAAAGTAATGTTGTTCAATTTTCTATTAAATTGTGTTCAGTGTTTTATTGTATTATTGATGAACAATTATAAATGTGGTTAAAACATTCGCTGAACACGAAAATATTTAACTCTAACAAATTGTTCATCAGTTAATTGTTGCTAATTTTTAAAATTTAATTGTATATGTAAAATACATATTAAAATATTCGAGAATGCGTTACAACAGAATTATGCACACAAATATTAGTATTGTTGTATTTTGAAAGTAAAGCAGTTTTGGTTTCATATGAAAATTTAAGTAAATAATCAACAAACGTGAAGCGCACAAAAATTTCCGGACGAAGCATTTTACAATTTCCAATTTTTAAAACCATTAAAAATTAAAATTATTTCCTCCGTAAAAGAAGATCTCGCTGATTTTAATTATTTCTTAACTGACAATATGAACTTTGTATTCACATTTCATGTAATATTACGTTATGTAAATTTTATACTTTTTCGTATTTAGACCACGTCATTACCTAGAAAACAATGTGCATTAAATAGACTGTTTAGTAGCCAAATGAGTTTCGTTTTAGGAATATATTCCACTTATTGTTCCACTAGAGACCAGAAAATTCATTACCATTTCATCGGCAGCAACTTCAAAATGAAAAGCAATGATTGTGAGTGTGAAAAGTATCATTATTATTGGTTGAAAATTTTATCGATTTACCATCCTTCTATTCTCTGTTCCCGCATGTCTTCCTTGTTTCCACAGATTTCCTACTGTCCTTTCCCTCTTCTCTGATAATTTCCCTCTAGTCTTTCACTGCCACTATTTTATTATTTCTACTCTCACTATATATCTAGTTTATCGCCCTGAATTACACCACATTATTTATAATCACAAGCCTCCCCTTTCAGTATGTTTTAGTCCACCAAACACTTTTTCATACGAACAGCCTTGAAGCTGTGAGATACTGACAGAGCATATGTGAAGACATATTCTGTGAAGAAGCAAGAACAAGGACTGTCTGAATTGTTGCAGCTGCTCTCTTAACTCAAGAAGTCACTTCACAATTTGAATAAATATTAGTGCAGATGCCTCGTGCTGTGAATGCAACGAGGATGCAACATTAACAAAATAAGTATATGAAGAAAGTGTTGTAAGAAATAATAATACAATTCGAGATTGGAGAATAACGAGGAACTTAGGTCAAGTTTGATTTTCAATAATCCAAGAGACTCAAAGAATATTTCGAGTAGCTGAGTTTCTATTCTTCATTTTAATGCAATGATTGGAAAATGCTGATTGTTTTTGAAGTACTGTCTATAAACTTTCTCCACTGCGTGTTACGGAGAATAATTTATTGCGCGATAGAGCATAGCTATGATTCAAAAGTTATAATTTTTTGAGTTTTCTGAACACCCTACCTTCTAAAAATAGTTTTTTCCTTTGTAAGATAACAATTAAGTTCATTAATTTTTTGTAATCAACGATATCTTGATTATTTTGATTAGGCACCGGTTCATATTTTTATGTTGACCACTAATTGACCCCTTGATCATCATTCATCCCCTTCAAAATTTCATTGACCCCCAGGGGATATGTATTGATCCCGTTGGGAATCTTCTTTAGATATCAAAGTATATAAAAAAATAAAAGTGCAAATTAATGCTTTCCACTATGTGAGATTTTCTTTATTTAAACAGTGTTAACGACATATAGGCATTATGTCGTTTAATACTGCCTCTTCATCGGCTTAGATTGCACGGGGCATCAATTGATGTCATTGCAGAGTCTCTGACCGCGAGTTCTGGGTTCGAGTCCAGACGGAGGCAGGATTTTCGACACCAGCTAGATAGGTAGGTCGGCTAGTGCTGGGAAAAATCCCCGGAAGCCAATATAGGTCGGCGCCGGATCTCGCGCTCCAGCGGGGGAAGATCACCTCTACTTCTCGCGATGAAAACATTCACTGTACTTACGGGAATAATGACCTTAGCCGTTGACGCGCCTGGAATCACTAAGCAACCATGCGACACTGACATTTCGAGGGGTACGTAAGTATGGGACACTATCTTTTTTTAGCACTGAGAAGGAACATGAAGCGTGGAGTTCATAAATATTTGTCCTATGCTGCAAAATAATAGTTTTGAGTCTGTATCTCTGCAATTAAAAAGCTTACAGAATAATATTACTCAGCTTAGTTAGTGATCATCGCATACAGTTATTGTAGTGAAATCCGCATTTCGAGAACTGCAAAAGTTCAGAGGATGTTTGAGGAAAACATGTTAGGTGAGCGATTGCGATATGAAAAAAATAAAAATATTTATGCCTGGGTGCATTCGTTTTACATACATAGATTTTACATATTTACAAATCGTCAATTTCGTGTGTTCTCACGAGCCTCCATCTTTGTAGGTAGAGAGGTCCTAGATTCTAGTCGTACAGTGATGAATTGAATTGAATTGAATTGAATTTGCCTTATTTTACGTGGCGAGATGAATTTTCATAATAGACCATCTCCAACGACGACCTTGCCCGCACGCGAGTTTCTTGAGGCTGACTGCTCTGATTCCCCGGTTTTCTCCGTTCGACTCCAGGGGAATGTCAGAAGAGAAGGTTTCTTAAGTAACAAGCCAATGATACTCGCACCACGGTCCGTCCTTCTTTAACATGTCTCCCCTGTCATCGTCTGGGATGAGAGAGAGAGAGAGAGAGAGCGAAGGAGAGAGAGCGAAGGGTAGAGATGAAGAGAAGAACGGATAAAGATGGAAAGTGTAAAGCAGTGGAACAGAGTCCTAACTAAAATATAAATCAACGATATGAGATTGTTTCATAAATTACCGTCGCAAGACATTTTTCATCACGATTCATGCTCAGTACCTCTCAGCTAAACTCACTAACGGGACATTCTATTTCTGGTCATATCAGATGTTGCGAGAAGGTTTCACCTGCAGCCTCTGTCATCGATGGAGACCCTCGAAACCTCAAAATAGCGATAAGCACACAAGCGAGGGCGCCTCGCCGCACAGGTCTCCCGAGGAGCAGGAATTCCGCGAAGGCGCCCCGAGACGCGTGGGCGACTTCCCGGCAAACAAATCCGAGACCGGAACCTCCCGTCAGTTCCATGCGAAAAATAGATCCGCTTTCTGCTTATGGGCGGTACACACGGCCACGGCGGATCGGCAGCTACAGGCCACGTACCTAAATGCGGACGTAACTATAAGTAAGAATCTTGTTACGTTAGCAATGTAAGGACGTCCCCTACCATCACAATTC